AAATCAAACATTTGTTTGAAACCATGGCCGCGGAGGCTGCAGAAACACCAGATCGTACTCGGCGGAGGTGCGAAGGCTGCGGAAACACCGGAATTTAGGTAAAAATCGGATTACAAATCAAAAGTTGAAAAAAAAACTCAAAATCTTTTGATTTTTTTTTGTTAGAAAATGGATATATGATGTTAGATCTATTAGTTTTAGGCAAAATCCATTTGAAAATTAGTTAAAATATAGTTAAAACGAGCTAAAAAGTAGCTGGCGGCAATTGTTAAGGTTAGAGAAAAGCTTGGTCTTATGGAGAAGATGAAGAATGAATTACGATTTTACCCTTTATTGAATAAATCTACCACTACTATAAATAAGTCTACCACATATTATAAATCTACCACTACTATAAATAAGTCTACCAACTGAAAGTTGTTTTTAGTACAGAGCTGAAAATATTGAATAATTCTACCACTACTATAAATAAGTCTACCACATATTATAAATCTACCACTACTATAAATAAATCTACCACTACTATAAACAAGTCTACCAACTGAAAGTTGTTTTAGTAAAGAAGTGAAAAGATTGAATAAATCTACCACTACAATAAATAAGTCTACCACATATTATAACTCTACCACTTGTATAAATAAGTTTACGATTGCGCGAACCATCAATAAATAAGTCTACCACAATATTAATAAGTCTATCACTCAAAAATAAATCTACCACTACTGTAAATAAGTCTACGATTGCGTGAACCATCAATAAGTCTACCGATCACAAAATTAACTCTACCTCTACCGATCACAAAATTAACTCTACCACCACTAGAAATAAGTCTACCGATCACAAATTAACTCTACCACTACTACAAATAAGTCTACCACATTTTATAAATCTACCACCACTATAAATAAATCTACCAATGAGCGAACCATCAATAAGTCTACCGATCACAAAACTAACTCTACAACTACTACTAATAAGTCTATCACTCAAAAATAAATCTACCACTACTATAAATA